GGTTGATATGTGCCTCCGGTGACGTGCTCGGTGTTATGGTCACCCCGAGGTCTTTCTCCCTGAGTGAGGTCTGTAGTCTTTGTCCACCTAGCCTATACTCTGTCTGCGGTCTTCTTTGCCCCTCCCCAATCTTCATGACTTTGCATTTGGCAGGATTGAATTTGAGAAGCCAGTTTCTGGACCACGTGTCCAGCCTGTCTAGGTCTCTTTGCAGTCCTGCCTCATCCTCATCCGATTTAATTCTTCTCATCAGCTTCACATCATCTGCGAATAGGGACACTTCAGAGTCTATTCCTTCCATCATGTCGTTCGCATATATCAAAAATAGCACTGGTTTTAGAACTGACCCCTGTGGGACCACGCTCGTCACAGGCGCCCACTGTGATACCTCTTCACGTACCATGACTCGTTGTTGCCTCCCTGTCAGGTATTCCCTGATCCATTGCAGTGCCCTCCCTGTTATATGCGCCTGATCCTCCAGCTTCTGCACTAATCTCTTGTGAGGAACTGTGTCAAAGACCTTCCTGAAGTCCAGGAAAATGCAATCAACCCACCCCTCTCTCTCGTGTCTTACTTCTGTTACCTTGTCATAAAACTCCAGAAGGTCTGTGACATGCTGGTTTTCATTTATAATCTTGTTCCGTTCCAGGTGTTCCACCACTCTCCTCCTGATAATCTCCATGACTTTGCATACTATACATGTCAGAGACACAGGTCTGTAGTTTAGTGCCTCATTTCTGTTTCCTTTCTTAAATATGTGGTTTACATTTGCTGTCTTCCATTTCTCAGGTAGCTGCCCAGTTTCAAGGGATGTGTTGAAGATTGTGGTTAGGGGCACGCACAGCATCTCTGCTCCTTCTCTAAGGACCCACAGGGAAATGTTGTCCAGTCCCATTCCCTTTGAGGTATCAAGGTCACTTAGCAGATTCTGCACCTCCTCCTTGGTTGTTCGTATGTCATCCAACACTTGTTGGTATATTCCCTCTTGATGTTCCCTTCTGTGCTGTCTTCCCAGAGCCCTTCCTGTCTCTACTGTAAAAACTTCCTTAAATCTCCTGTTTAGCTCCTCACATACCTCCTGATCATTTCTTGTGAGTTCTCCACCTTCTGTCCTCAGTCTGATCACTTGGTCTTTGACTGTTGTCTTCCTCCTGATGTGGCTATACAAAAGTTTCGGGTCAATCTTGACTTTCGATGCTATGTCATTTTCATACTGTCGCTGGGCCTCCCTCCTAACCTGTGCATACTCGTTCCTGGCTCTGTGGCTAATCTCCCTATTCTCATGTGTTCTCTGCCTTCTGTACTTTTTCCATTCTCTATTGCACTTTGTTTTTGCCTCCTTACACAGTCGGGTAAACCAGGGGCTCGTTCTGGTCTTCCCATTGTTTCTGTTGCCCTTGGGAATAAACCTTTCCACTGCCTCCTTCAATTTTGCTGTTACATATTCCATCATTTCATTTACTGGCTTTCCTGCCAGTTCTCTGTCCCACGGAACCTCCTGCAGGAAGTTCCTCAAACCTATGTAGTCCCCTCTTTTATAGTCTGGCTTTTCCCATTCAACTCCTGTTACTCTCTCCACTTGCAACTCTACTATGTTTTGAAAGCACAGAACCACGTGGTCACTAACTCCTAGTGTGTGTGTGTGTGTGTGTGTGTGTGTGTGTGTGTGTGTGTGTGTGTGTGTGTGTGTGTGTGTGTGTGTGTGTGTGTGTGTGTGTGTGTGTATACTCACCTAGTTGTACTCACCTAGTTGAGGTTGCAGGGATCGAGTCCGAGCTCCTGGCCCCGCCTCTTCACTGGTCGCTACTGTGTGTGTGTGTGTGTGTGTGTGTGTGTGTGTGTGTGTGTGTGTGTGTGTGTGTGTGTGTGTGTGTGTGTGTGTGTGTTTGTGTGTGTGTGTACTCACCCAGTTCTCACCCAGTTGAGGTTGCAGGGGTCGAGTCCAAGCTCCTGGCCCCGACTCTTCACTGGTCGCTACTAGGTATGTGTGTGTGTGTGTGTGTGTGTGTGTGTGTGTACTCACCTATTTGTACTCACCTATATGTGGTTGCAAAGGTCGAGTCATAGCTCCTGGCCCCGCCTCTTCACTGATTGCTACTGGGTCCTCTCTCTCTCTGTTCCATGAGCTTTATCAAACGTCGTCTTAAAATTATGTATGGTTCCTGCCTCCACTACGTCACTTCTAGGCTGTTCCACTGACTGACAACTCTACGACTGAAGAAATACTTCCTAAAATCCCTTTGAGTCATCTGAGTCTTCAACTTCTAATTGTGACCCCTTGTTTCTGTGTCCCATCTCTGGAACATCCTGTCTTTGTCCACCTTGTCTTTTCCACGCATTAATTTATGTGTCGTCATCATGTCTCCCCGGACCCTCCTGTCCTCCACTGTCGTCAGGCCAATTTCCCTTAACCTTTCTTCGTAGGACAGTCCCCTTAGCTCTGGGACTAGTCTTGTTGCAAACCTTTGCACTTTCTCTAATTTCTTGACGTGCTTGACCATGTGTGGATTCCAAACTGGTGCTGCATACTCCAGTATGGGCCTGGCGTAAATGGTGTACAGAGTCTTGAACGATTCCTTACTGAGGTATCGGAACGCTATCCTTAGGTTTGCCAGACACCCGTACGCTGCAGCAGTTATCTGATTGATGTGCGCCTCAGATGTGCTCGGTGTTATACTCACGCAAAGGTCCTTTTCCTTGAGTGAGGTTTGCAGTCTTTGGCCACCTAGACGATACTGTGTCTGCGGTCTTCTTTGCCCTTCCCCAACCTTCATGACTTTGCATTTGGCAGGGTAAAATCCAAGAAGTCAGTTGCTGTACCAGGCTTGTAGCTTGTCCAGGTCGCTTTTTAGTCCTGCCTGATCCTCGACTGATTTAATTCTCCTCATTAACTTGACATCATCTGCAAACAAGGACACTTCTGAGTCTATCCCTTCCGTTATGTCATTCACATATACCAGCACAGGTCCTAAGACCGACCCTTTTGGAACTCCGCTTGTCACAGGCGCCCACTCTGACACCTCGTCATGTACCATGACTCGTTGTTGCCTCCCTGTTAGGTATTCTCTGATCCATTGCAGTGCCTTTCCTATTATGTGTGCCTGATCCTCTAGCTTTTGCAGTAATCTCTTGTGAGGAACTGTGTCGAAGGCCTTCTTGCAGTCCAAGAAAATGCAGTCGATCCACCCCTCTCTCTTGTCTTACTTCTGTCACCTTGTCATAAAACTCCAGTAGGTTTTTGACAGAGGGTTTTCTTTCCCTGTAACCGTGCTGGTTGTCGATTATTTACTTGTTTCTTTCCAGGTGCTCCACCACTCTCCTCCTGATGATCTTCTCCATGACTTTGCATACTATACAAGTTAGTGACATAGGTCTGTAGTTTAATGCCTCCTGTATGTCTCCTTTTTAAAAATTGGGACTACATTTGCCATCTTCCATACCTCAAGGAGTTGCCCAGTTTCAATGGATATGTTGAAGATCTTTGTTAGTGGCAAACACAGCGTCTATGCTCCCTCTCTAAGGACCCATGGAGAGATGTTGTCTGATCCCACTGCCTTTGAGGTATCAAGTACACATAGCAGCTTCTTCACCTCCTCTTCGGTTATGTGTACCTCATCCTGCATTTGTTGGTGTACCTCCCTGTTCTGATTTCCTGGAGTCCTACCAGTTTCCACTGCAAATACTTCTTTAAATCGCATGTTGAGCTCCTCTTGGTCGTTTCTTGTGAACTCCCCATCACCCTTCCTCAGTCTGATTACCTAGTCCTTGACTGTTGTTTTCCTCCTGATGTGGCTATACAACAGCTTCGGGTCAGACTTGACTTTCGATGATATGTCATTTTCGTATTGTCGTTGAGCATCCCTTCTTATCTGTGCATATTCGTTTCTGGTTCTTTGGCTGATCTCTTTGTTTTCCTGGGTCCTTTGTCTTTTGTACCTTTTCCATTCTCTAGTACACCTAGTTCTTGTCTCCCTACACCTTTGGGTGAACCAAGGACTCGTTCTGGTCTTCCCACTATTTTTGCTTCCCTTGGGAACAAACCTCTCCTCTGCCTCCTTGCATTTTGTTGTCACATAGTCCATCATTTCTTGTACTGGTTTTCCTGTCAGTTCTCTCTCCCAATGAATGTCTTGCAGGAAGTTCCTCATGCCTGAGTAGTTTCCCCTTTTGTAGTTTGGTTTTTCCCATCCTATTCCTGCTACTCTCTCCACTTGTAACTCAACTATGTAGTCAAAGCACATAACCACATGATCACTAGCTCCTAGGGGCCTTTCATACATGATATCCTCGATGTCCGAACTACTCGAGGTGAATACAAGGTCCAGTCTTGATGGGTAGTTGATGTGGGGGTGGTGTTTGTAATGAGGTGGGTGGGGTCATTGGATATGGCATGTGTGTTTTGGGTTAGAATGTTTGGTTGCATTGGGGTAGTCCTGGTTGGGGGGCTTCTGTAGGTGGTTGTGAGGGAGGCTGTATTTGATCTTCCTCCTGATTCTGGGTTCTCCTGTCCATCTCCATCCTCACCTCTCTTTCCTCCTTTTGTCTTTGTACCATCTGTTTCAGTTTCTGCCTTTCCTCTTTTGTTCTATCGCGGTCGATATACACCTTCCGGTACTCCGACATGTCCCTTAGTCTTGTTTTCTCCTGCAGGATCCTGTTCTGAGTCGATTCTGTCTTGAAAATCACTTTCACTGGCCGGGCTCTCCTTCTTGCAAACCCCCCTATTCTCCGGAAATTTACCAACTGGCTCATGCCATCTTCTCCTATTGCCTTTATGATGCTTTCGATCGAATGTGCGTGTGTGTGTGTGTGTGTTTGTTTGTGTGTGTGTGTGTGTGTGTGTGTGTGTGTGTGTGTGTGTGTGTGTGTGTGTGTGTGTGTGTGTGTGTGTGTGTGTGTGTGTGTGTGTGTGCGTGTGCATGTGTGTGTGTGTGCGTGTATGTGTGTATGTGTATTTAGCTGGTTGGTTCATGACTAATATTTGACATTTGACCTTGCAGCTTGCATGAAGTCAACATTACGTTCGCAAAGCCCAGTGACCCCAGAATTAATTCATGGAAACTGAGAATTTATAAGGTAATCTTAAGAGATTTAGTCTGTTTTTATATGTACTGTATATAACATTTGCATCATATATCCAGAATTAGGGTAAGATACAAGCAACTGTTGCGAGAAAGATGGGCTGTAGAGAGTATAGGTAATGAGGAGGTTGAAGAAGTGGGGTAGATATAAGAATACAAAGTTAGAGACACAGCAGAAGTTTGGGGACATAGGAGGGGGGGGGGTGCGGAAGAGGAATGATCGGTGGAATGACAAAGAGAGTGGCAGGGGAGAAAAAGTTGCCATATGAGAGATTTTACAGAGCAGAAGTGATGTAAGAAGGGTAGAGTATATGGGGAGTTAGAAGAGAGGTTAGAAGAGTGGTGAGGGAGTTTAAAAGGAGAGCAAATGAGAGAGTAGGTGAGGTGCTGTCAACAAATTTTACTGAAAATATTTTGGAAATTAATAAGATGGGAAAGCCGTGGGAATGAATTGATTTAATAGTTAAAAACAAACGTTGGAACTTAATAAATGTGGAGGTGGAGACATTAAGAAAATGGAGTAAATATTTTGAGGAGCTATTGAATGCTGACGAAGAGAAGGAGGCAATGATTTCAGGCATTGGCCAGGGAGTTAAAACTTCTCTTATGAGTGTGAAAGAGCCAGATATGAGTGTTTGGGAAGTACGTGAGGCTGTGAGTAAAATAAAAGGAGGTAAAGTGGCTGTGATTGATGGGATGATGACAGAAATGTTAAAAGCAGGTGGGGGATATAGTTTTGGGATGGTTGGTGCTATTATTCAGTAAATGTATGAAAGAGAGGAAGGTACCTATGGATTAGAAGAGAGTGTGCATAGTTCCTTCATATAAAGGAAAAGGGGATAGAGGTGTTAGAATTAAAGAGGAACAAACCTGGTAGAGTTATTGCCGATAGAATTAAAGGTAAGACTGAGAACAAGATTACATATGAACAAGGAAGTTTTAGAAGGGTTAGGGGACGAATTACAAAGCAATAATGTCATTCCCATCCTGTTCTGCTGGTGGCTACACAGGGGAGACTGCAGAGACACAAGGTTCGTCAACAATTCCTTGGCTGGTCTGATTCCTGACGTAATTAAACCTTTCTTTATTGTTGCATCATTATGTGCCCTTAAAAAGAAGGATGGAGGAATTAGGCCAATTGCAGTGGGCAACACTTTTCGCACAGAGGCAGCCATGATGCTTCAACCAAACCAGTTTGGCTTTGAGGTCTCTAAAGGAAGTGAAGCAGCGGTTCATGCAACAAAGGCGTATATCAACAACCTGCCCGAGGACAATGTAGTGGTAAAATTTGATTTCAAGAATGCTTTTAATCTCGTGAAAAGAGACGTGGTATTAGCAGCTGTACAAGAACATTTCCCTGGTCGCTTCCCTTTTGTTTCAGCTGGATATAGCAAGGAATCAATGCTCCTGTTTGTAGAGCATGAAATCACATCATCAGAGAGTGTCCAGCAAGGGGATCCTCTCACACCATTTCTCTTCTGTATAGCGGCTAGAGAAATCACAGTCAAACTGACCAGTAAGCTAAACATCTGGTTCCTGGATGATGGCACACTAGCAGGTACAACGGAGTCCCTTCTAGATGATCTTACACAGGTGATGATACGGGGTCAGGAAATGGGTCTCATCCTCAATGCATCCAAATGTGAAATCATCTCAGTCAACCATCGATTGAAATATGCAGTGAGATCAATATTACCAGGAGAGTCAGCCATTGCCCCACAAACAGCGTCTTGCTTGCAGCATCTCTCTAAACTTGTGTATGTCTCAAGAGTGAATTTCAGTCTAATGTTTTCAGATTCCATAATAGTTAACCAATGATTTAAATTTTCAATATTCGAAAAGAGTGATACCACCCTGCAACCAGACTCACAGGGTTAAGATAAAGTAAGAGTAACATAGAGACATTTCAGTCATCATAAAGTACAGTTCAGTAAATTAAGGTACAGTTCAGTACATAAGAGTACAGGTAAGAACAGTATGAAAGTTAGGCTATCTTATTTCGAAACGTTTCGCTACAACAGTAGGTTCTTCAGTCAGTAAGAAAAGTTGATCAAAGCAGAAGAGATTGAAGAGACGTAATCAGTCCATCACCTTAAAGTATGAGGTGGTCAGTCCCTCAGTCTAAGAGAATTGTTCCATGTCTGAAACTTTTATCAATTCTACAATGTTTCTGTAATCGACTGTAAGAAGCCACTGTGATAGAGCGACTAACTTAGTCGAAATAAAGTACATAAGACATGATTGCAACAGTAGTCTTACTAACAAACTGTCAGTACTTTATACATGAGTAATGAATAAGGAGTACAGGAGTCTAGATACACTAAGAGTACAGTGGAAGTATACATGAGATCATGAGATTATCAGTACATGAGAGTACATGAGAGTATAGATCAGTACTGAGAGTACAAGAAAATGTTCAGTACACTGGAGAATAGATCAGAGTACATGAGAGTACATGAAGAATAGATCAGGTACATTAGAGACATATGAGTACAATCATGAGAGTACATAGAGTCATGATACATAGAGTACATGAGTGAATAGATCAGTACATGAGAGTACATGATGCATGAGAGTACATGAGATACAGTAGTACATGAGAATTACATGTAGTACATGACATACATGAGTACATGGGAGTAATGAGAGTCAATGAGAGTACATAGAGTCATGAGTACATGAGAGTACATGAGAGTACATGGAGTACATATACATGAGATACATGAGAGTACATGGGAGAATATGAGAGTATATGAGAGTACATGAGAGTATATGAGAGTACATGAGAGTACATAAGAATACATGAGAGTACATGGGAGAACATGAGAGTACATGAGAGTACATGGAGTGCATGGAGTACATGAGGGTACATGAGAGTACATGGGAGTACATGAGAGTACATGGGAGTACATGAGAGTACATGGGAGTACATGAGAGTACATGGGAGTACATGAGAGTACATGAGAGTACATGGGAGTACATGAGAGTACATGAGAGTACATGGGAGTACATGAGAGTACATGAGAGTACATGAGAGTACATGAGAGTACATGGGAGTACATGAGAGTACATGAGAGTACATGAGAGTACATGGGAGTACATGGAGTACATGAGAGTACATGAGAGTACATGGGAGTACATGAGAGTACATGAGAGTACATGGTACAGAGTACATGAGAGTACATGAGAGTACATGGAGTACATGAGAGTACATGAGAGTAACATGAGAGTACATGGGAGTACATGAGAGTACATGGATGTACATGAGAGTACATGAGAGTACATGGATACATGAGAGTACATGAGAGTACATGAGAGTACGTGGGAGAGTACATGAGAGTACATGAGAGTACATGGGAGTACATGAGAGTACATGAGAGATGAGTACATGAGAGTACATGAGAGTACATGAGAGTACATGGGAGTACATGAGAGTACATGAGAGTACATGAGAGTACATGAGAGTACATGAGAGTATATGAGAGTACATGAGAGTACATGAGAGTACATGAGAGTACATGAGAGTACATGAGAGTACATGAGAGTACATGAGAGTACATGAGAGTACATGGGAGTACATGAGAGTACATGAGAGTACATGAGAGTACATGGGAGTACATGAGAGTACATGAGAGTACATGAGAGTACATGGGAGTACATGAGAGTACATGAGAGTACATGGGAGTACATGAGAGTACATGAGAGTACATGAGAGTACATGGGAGTACATGAGAGTACATGGGAGTACATGGGAGTACATGAGAGTACATGGGACACGTGACAAAGAGTGAAAGTAAGTTTGTACTGAGATAATTTTAAATAGAATGAAAATTAAAAGAGAACCGGAAAAAATAAAAAATCGATTTTATTTTGTTTTAACTTATTGTATTATTTTGTCTTGAAGTTGGTAAAGAGCTCTTGATCCAGGGAACTGTACTTATCTTCCCCTTGCTTTGGTAGAGTCTGAATGCCTCCTCTTGTATGACTCCTACGGGTTTAGGTTGTGTAGACACAAATTTTGTTGGATTCTGTGCAACGACTAGAAAATGCATCTTCTGGTCGGCTTGAAACTTGTACTGCTGATGTGTTAGGTTATGTATGTTAATTTTTGTGTGTGAAATAATTGGAGAATGTTTCTTCTAATCAGAAATAAGTGAGTGTTTGGTTTTAGTTATCTTAGGTTCTTTATGTGTCTATGACATCTGTGTCCTGGAGACCATTGTTAGACGTGAATGGCATACACTACCGACAAGATGAAAATTAGACATATATGCAACACCTGGGTCTCTTTATTGTAGACGTTTCGCCATCCAGTAACTTTATCAAGAGAGTAGAACTATGTACAAAAGATGAGGTAAGCAGTGCCTCAGCCTTGGAGTTGACATGAAGAGCACCGTAGTGGTGAAGAATCCATGACTCTTCTCAACACCAACTCCAAGGCTGAGGGACTGATTACCTAATCTTTTATACATAGTTCTACTGTCTTCAAATTTTATCCTACAGTTTGTATTGATAAAGCACTGGATGGCGAAACGTCTACATTAAAGATACCCAGATGTTGCATATGTGTCTAATTTTCACCACTGTTAGACACTGGTATGGTATATATACTGAATTGGTACCTTATGTACATAAAACTTACTTACGTAGTTTACTTATTTACTGTAGTTTCTTAAAATCCAGTCAGTCTTATTTAGAGAAAAGCTTGGATTAATTTTGGGCTGTGTAAATCCCAGCTTACTTTCTGGGAAGAAATCTGGAAAAAAAAATGGAATACCCGACACGCCGCTAACTTGATAATGTAACTTCTGAGTAGCTTGAAGGTTATTGTTCTTGTGTATATTAGGGAATATTAGTCTCGTTGGTCTTTTTGAAATGATTTGATTAAATTTGGGGTATGTGTCCTAATTTGCCATTTTTATTGAAGAAAGTTGGGTATTAGTGTCCACATAACGACTTGTGAACGACTCTTCTAATTGCCTTCAGTTTCAATACTAATATTCAACTGCGTTATTAACTTATGCCGCACTCCCTACATAACCTGACGATATCCTTTCCGGAAAGAACTCGATATAATAGACTCAAACTGGATAAACTTAGATTTAGAAAGGATATAGGATAGTACTTGTTTGGAAATAGAGTAGTCGATGAGTGGAACAGTTTACCTAAGTAGGGTTATTGAAGCTAAAACCTTGGGTAGCTATAAATATAGGTTAGATAAATACATGAGTGATAGGGGATGGATCTGAGTGGGTCTTGCACTTGAGTTAACAGGGCTATCAAACCTTATTCCTTCGGTAACACTGATGGTGGGATGTGCGAATATTTTTAGTGGGTTTGGGTTTGACAAAGACCCACCAAGTATGGGCCAGTAGACCTATTGCAGTTTTCCTCCTTTCTTGTGGTCTTATATACTGAAACACATGGGGCTGGGGTTATGGAATACGGGAATACCTTTCTTTGGATCGCGCAGCGACTGAAATACATCTGGACTTGCATAGTATGCATGCCAGTTATACATCTTGGTTGCTCAATATTTCCTGTTTGTTCAGGGTTTCCTGCTTGTTTAATGTTTCCTGCTTGTTCAAAGTTTCCTTCTTGTTCAAGGTTTCCTGCTTGTTCAATGTTCTCTGCTTGTTCAGTGTTTCCTGACT